TATATATATATATATATATATATATATATATATATGTCGCGGATCCGACGGGCTGAGCTCCCGTCGGGCAGCGAGCAAGCGCGCTGATATCGCCCAGCGCAGGGCGCGGTGAGGTAAGAGAGCGAATCGAACACTATTTGTCACTTTGTTAGAAATCACTTTATTTGTTGCACAACGTTTATCGAGAATGCGGTTCGACGGCTAAGTCTGTCGAGACGGAGATCTTCGTGTGCCGACGGCCGGGTCAGCCGAACGCGACGGAAATCTTGCTGAGCGATAATCGTTCGCTCCGCGGACGGAAATCTTGAACGCGATCGACCGAGATCTTCGGCGACCCTGGCGCGCGTCCGCGAGCCGTCGAACGAACTATATCTCGAAAGCGTGGGTGTCGCAACGTTTTATTATTTTTTTTGTTCTTTATTAGTTTAATAGCGTGCACCTGTATTGTTTTAATAAATGAAATAGGCTGTTCATAGACGAAATATAAATAATAAATAATTAAAAATAAATAATAATAAGGTAGAAGGAGAGAGAAAGACAGAGAGAGAGAGAGAGGGAGGGAGGGAGGGAGAGAGAGAGAGACAGAAAGATAGTGACACATTGAGAGGGAAGGAGGGAGGGAGAGAGGAAGAAAAAGAGAGAGAGAATAAATATCTCTGTCTCCGTTTCTCTCCGTTTCTCTCTCTCTCTCTCCCCTCCCTCTCTCTCTCTCTCCTCCCTCCTTCCTTCCCCATCTCCCTCCTTCTCCCTCTCTCTCTCTTTCTAATAAAGGGTTTCAGGAAGAATTTTAGATTAAAATAGTTTTTTTTAATTACATTTTTGTTTTTTTATTATATTTTGTAAAAAAGATGTGATATAAAATTACTTTTTCACAAAACAAGTAAAAAAAGAAGCCGAGTGCACGCGCGTTAGCATTAAAAACTTTACAAAAAAATCGTTATAAATAAATTTTACAAAAAAATCGTTATAAATAAACTTCACAAAAAAATATAAATTAATTTTACAAAAAAAACCGTTATAAATAAACTTTACAAAGAAAATCATTATAAATAAATTACAATAAAAACTCAGTCAAAAGATATTTGGAAAAATATTATTAAAACAATCTTATTCAGATCAATTGTACTTTCGTAAATACTCTAATACTCTATTAAAAAATATGACAGTTTTATATATATACTCTCTACAAAAGAAATGATATCAAGAGGTTACATTCGCCAAGTGCGAATGATTAATCATTTTTTTAATTTTATAAACATATGCGATTTTGATTATATATTTATGAATTAAATATGTTATTAATATATTAGTAATATATTATTAAATAAAAAATAAAATAATTAGAGAAATACAATAATATTAAAAAAATTATAATAATTTACACAAAAAAGCACTTGGCGTGCCTTTTTTTAAATATTACATCGATAATCAATATAATACTTTGATAGCGATTATAAGTTTAAGTAATTTAGTTATGATTACAATAAGAGAACATTTGCCTATAAAAAAGGGCACACCAAGTGCTTTTTTGTGTAAGTTATTATAATCTTTTTTAATATTATTGTATTTCTCTAATTATTTCATTTTTTACTTAATAATATATTACTAATATATTAATAAAATATTTAATTTATAAATATATAGTCAAAATCACATATGTTTATAAAATTAAAAAATAATTAATCATTCGCACTTGGCGAATGTAACTTCTTGATATCATTTCTTTTGTAGAGAGTATATATATAAAACTGTCATATTTTTTAATAGATTATTTACAAAAGTACAATTGATCTGAATAAGATTGTTTTAATAATATTTTTCCAAATATCTTTTGACTGAGTTTTTGTTGTAATTTACTTATAACGATTTTTTTTGTAAAGTTTATTTATAACGGTTTTTTTTTGTAAAATTAATTTATGTTTTTTTGTAAAGTTTATTTATAACAATTTTTTTGTAAAGTTTATTTATAACGATTTTTTTTGTAAAGTTTTTAATGTTAACGCGCACTTGGCTTTTTTTTTTACTTTATATATATATACACATACACACACACACACACACACACACACACACACACACAGACACGGAACGAAGACGATCGTCAAAATATCACATTTGATAAGCGTGAACATGTTCGCGCTACCGTTGCACCGCAATATTTTTTCATATATCATTCCTTCACAGATGTTATGCAAGTATGTATGCTACGTTGTCATTTCAATTTTCTTACGTATAGACGGTACATAAATGTGAATATCAAGTTGCCGATATTCACATTCTCTCCAAGAGAACCTTTCGCTGTTTTTCTGATGAATTATTCAAACCGCTTATGTACTGCACTGAGAGAAAAAAATAATTGGAATAACTATAATCTCACTATATTTTATAGTTCGTTTTGGCCTCAAACATATATTTATAGTTCATCTAAACATGAAGATATAGTAGAATGAACACAGATTTATAGTCACCATCTTATCATTCTATATATATGATAAAACACCTTTTGGGAATATAGTTAC